ATGAGGGAAAGAAAACCACTTACCTCATGACCAAGATGTTATTAACGGAGAGGAAGAGGTTAGAGCCAAGTCTCAGTATCCCATCCAAGGGCATGCCCCATGTATTCTGAAGACCTTCCACCAGGCCTTACCCCTTCAAGTTCCCACCACCTCCCAATACCAAGATGAGCACCAAGCCTTTAACTCATGAGCCTTTTAAGACATTTAAGATCCAAACTAGAGCAGGGAGTCTGAAGTAAGGCTAAGAGTCTGTGTTTCTCTCCAGCCTCCCAGTGATGCTTCTGCTGCTGGTTCAAGGACCACACACTCAGATTCACAGCTATCTGAGCACCTCAAGGCAGTGCTAGATGGAGGTCCTGAGCCCTGGAAATATCAAAGGGCCCTACCAATGCATATAACTAAAACAATGGTGACATGGAAATTCAGTAAACTCAACAAAATTCTTATTTTTCCCAAGATGATTACTCTGATTTTTTTTAAAAATTTGTTTTGATGCCTACAGTTTGCTGATGTCTTAAGCATGTGAAGAAGCCCTCACTCACAGCCACATCAATGTTTGTAGCAGCTCAATTCACAACAGCTAGGCTACGGAACCAACCTAGGTGCCCTTCAACAAATGAATGGATAAAGAAAATGTGATTTATACATACAATGGAATATTACTCAGCTATAAAAATGAATGACTTTATGATTTTTGCCGGGAAATGGATGGATCTGGAGACTATCATGCTAAGTGAAATAAGCCAATCCCAGAAAACCAAAGGCCAAACATTCTCTCTGATGGTAACACACAATAAGGTGGGGCGAGGGGATAGAAGTACTTTGGATTAAACAAAGGGGAATGGAGGGAAGGGAAGGAGGATGGGAACAGGAAAGAGAGAATGAATCAAATATTACTTTCCTATGTTCATATACGAATGCACAACCAGAGTAACTCCACAGCACGTACCACCACAAGAATCGGAAGTTACACTCCACGTATGTATAATATGTCAAAATACATTCTACTGTCATGTGTAACTAAAAAGAAGAAATGAAAAAAAAAAATTAAAAAAAGAAGCCCTCACTGTGTCAGGGCACAGTCCAAATGGGCCTCTGCTGCCTTGCTCCCTGGAGAAGGCCCCTGTTCCATCCTCCACTATCCATGGAAGGCCCCTCTCTCTTTCCACTTTCCCCAAAAGGTCATGGAGCTCTAGTATGACTTCCTTGCTGAGGACTGGGTGGGATCAAGAGGTCGGAAGCCCTCGCCACAACTTCAGTCAAGGAGTCTGAAGTGGAAGGACACGGTCATTACAGAGGGAGGTCCACGGGCAGACAGACAGACAGGAGGGGAGCTCCACGCAGGCAAGACCCCGGAGGCTGGGGTGGCCAGGCCAGGCCTCCCGGAGGGGAGCAAGCTGGATGGCAGTTTGGTCAGCATCTTCATGCCAAGGGAGGTTGGTGGGAGCCAGGAGATGCTGCTGAGCCCATGTGAGGCAGCGTGTTCAGACAGAGAAACAAGAGGCCTTGGAAAAAGCCAAGATTGTGGGCTGGGGCTGGGGCTGAGTGGTAGAGCACTTGCCTAGCATGTGTGAGGCACTGGGTTCGATTCTCAGCACTGCATATGAACCCAATGACAACTAAACAATATATAAAAAGAAAAGTCAAGATTGTGTTGCAAAGAGCATTGAAGCCTGTAGTAAAGGCTTTGAACTTGTCCTTGCAATGAGAAGCCACAAAGCATTCAGGGCCAGAGGTGCTGCAAGAAAAATGGTACTTTGAAAATATGTGTGTATATAGAGGGAAGCCTAGCAAACTACACCACAGTGTTGTTATTCTTTTAAATGATTTTTTTTGGAGAGACAGTGCATGCCTACATGCTTTTCTGCCTATGCAGAAAAATATTTCTAAGAGCTCAGAAACCAAACTTCTCCCCCACTCCTGGCTTCTATCTCTCCTCCTCCTCCCCCAATTCCTTCTTTTAACCTTACTTTTGTTTTTAACTTAGCAATGCATCTAAGAAACTTGCCCACCCTGTATCAATCCATCTCCTATTTCTGAATGGCCACATTGTTATTTTATTGCATGGATATTTTGAAATTAACCCATTGATGGAGACATACATGGTTGCATCTTTGATGCAATCAAGGTTGTCATGAATGCCCTTGCACCTCTGTCTGCAGACACAAGTGTGGACCCATCCATCAGATAAATTCCTACATGTGAAACGGGGGCTGTGAAGAATAGATTCACCTCAATAATTTTACCTCTTAAAAATTGTTCCATTAAAGAAATACCAAGATACAGGCACAAAGATATCGTACTTCTTTATAAGGACAGAAAACAAGAAGGGACCTAAGTTCCCACTGATTCATGGGGAGTGGGCTGAAGCGTGTGAATTCCCAGGAGATGACACGAGTGGTGGCCAGCACACATCGACACGCTGCAATCTGAAAAGGGAGCCTGATATGCCATTAAGCAGATAGGGCAGATTACAAAACAGCTTCCACTCACAACTCAATTTTCATAAATGTATTTATATGCTTATGCCTTTATTCCTTCTCTGTATTCCTTGAGTTTCTATGTGAGTAGGTATTAGCTTTATAGACAGAGGAACAATTAAACTGCTTCCAAAGCATCTGATTGCTCCATGGGCACAGATTTGAATTTGTGGCGCACCCATATGACACCAGGTATGGGTCCAGGTGTTTACATTGGGGTATCGGAGCTGCCTCTGTCTCTGGCTCCTGTCTGCCATCTCTAGCCTGATCATTTAGAATCAGAGAATGTTGGAACCCTTAAAAAGTAGCCCAGGCCTTATCTCATTGATGAGGGAACCAAGGCTCAGAGAAAGTAAAGTGACCTACCAAGGGTCACACAGCCAATTTGGGCAGGAGATTAAAGAGCCTAGGGCTCTACTGCCCAGCAACTCTTCTCTCCCCTAAATCTGAATATGAACTGTCATTTAGGGTTGAGAAGGGCACCGATTTGGAATGCCCTGTCTTCTGGGAGACCCTGTCCAGGCAAACCCAAGATGAAACATAAAAGGAGGACCCTACACAAGACTGTCATTAGTGGGGAGGAGCCTGATCCTGCATAGGCAGAAAAGCAGCTTTGTTGGGCCCAGGGGTCTGGCCAGCCACTGAGGCAGCCGGCTGCGGGGCATGAGGGAAGGAGCTTCCCTGGGCTGGTGCCAGATGACAGTAATTATAAGGCAATGTGGGCCTGCAAAGAGCCTATTAAATATGTTTGCTTTGCATCAAGCAGAACTCAACCTCTTCGCCACTTTCTATAAGAAATCCAACCACATCAAACACTTTTGGGTTTTTATACACTTTCCTGAGTGTTTGGGTGATAGCAGGGAACGGTCATGTCATTCAGCCCTGGCACAGAGCTGTCTGCTCGCCCCTTCCTGGTTCCTCACTCCTTTCTCACAGATTCCACCCCTCCCTGTTCCCTCTCCTCTTGGCTCAGCTCACACCCTGCCTCTGACCGCCCCAAGCCATCCATCAAAGCATTTCCCCAACAAAGAGGGACTTCCCAACCAGCTTCCCTGAAAATAAAAGTCCCTCCATTTAATTACTCTGGAGTCTTTTAGAGGCTGTAAATGCCACAGTCTCTGAGACCAGGATCTTAGGCTTTGAGCTAGAATGCCTCTAAATCACATCACTCAGGTTTAAGCAGGCTATTCCAAAGTTTGGGATGGGAGAGGGCTTGCCCAAGGTCAGGAGACACCCATGGCTTCCAGATCTCCACAGTCCATGCTGGAGCCAGGTCCTAGAATCAGGACAGACTGTGAATCAAGAGCTTCTTATTTATGTCCTCCAAGAGTCCAGGTCACCCTGGCAGGTGGGCTGTGATAAGGAAGCCCTGAACAATGTCCAAAGGGCAGAAGAATTTGTGGCACATCCATATGACACCAGATATGGGTCCAGGTGTTTACACTGGGGGATCGGGTAAGGGTCTTCTCCCAGTCTCCAGGGTGGAGGTGCCGTAAGCAGAGGCAAATCAGCGTGACATCATCATCTTCCCACATGAAAGCCCAGAGGTCCCGGGTGGGATTGTTTGCACCTCTCACAGGGGTGTGGGCACACTCTAAGGACTGGTCCAACTCCCAAATCATGAGTGATGGCGAGAGTGGGTGCTGTCCTCCAGGGGAGGGACAGGTGAGTCAGGCTCCCTGAGCATCTAGGCTCTGTCCACGAGTTGTCTTAATCATCCCCTTGTTGTTCCAGGAAGGGGAGATGCTACCTTCAGTTTATTAAGGATGTGGGCCGCACACCCAGGCGGCCTAAGTCCAAAGTCACTCCTCCAGAGCTCAGGGCTTCTTGGTGGAGGCCGAGCCTGTCCGTGCGTGTGTGCAGGTGTGTGGGGAGGGTGTGGGTGCTGGGGGTGTGTCCCTGCAAGAGGTCCTGGGCCTGGGCCTCTGTGGATGCCTACAGAAGAGAGCTGTGGTCCCAGGAATCTTCTCTCGTAGCCCTGGACTGGGTGCCCTGTCTCCTGGGCTCTGGTCCCTGCTCTGTAGCAGATAACCATGTCCCTTGAGAGGCCTCTCTCAGTGAGACCCTGTCTCTAAATAAAATACAAAATAGGGCTGGGGATGTGGCTCAGTGGTTGAGTGCCCCCGAGTTCAATCCCCTGAGTTCAATCACCAAAAAAAAAAAAAAAAAAAAGAATTTTTAAAAATAAATAAATAAATAATGGCTGGCCATAAGCTCTAATCTCTCCCTGCACCCCCTCTTTCCCAGTTCTGCTTCTTGTCAGCCTTGTGATCCTTCTGGGACTCTCTCCTCACTCGGTCCAGCTCTCACTCCATGTTTGGCTGGATCCACTCCCACACTGGACACCTTGTGGGTGCAAACCAAGGCAATTACTGGGTGATTATGTGTCTTGGAGGTGTCGTGGCTGGGCTGAGGAGGGCCACGCCTCCTCTTTTGAATTCTGACTTTCCTGCTTAGGAGTGTCCTGAGATTTTCCTTGTTAATGCGGGTCTAGCTGGCTACTCTGACGCACCATCCTGACGGTCCACACACCACCGTGAGGAGGCAAGGAATCTGTCTGGCTGTCGCATGGCAGGTGAGTGGGCAGGGCCTGGGGACCTCGGGGCATGAGGGCCTGAGAGGGGAGGTTTCAGGAGTGTCTGTGAGATAAAAACTTTGATGGTTGCTTGTTAAGATGTTAGAGCTGGACAGTCCATCAGCTCTTCCCTCATGTTCATCAGAAAATAGAGGCATGGGGATGGAAAGAAGCAGCCCCAGACCAGCCAGCAAGTCCATGCAGAGGCTGGGTGGGGGCCAGGCCTCCTGCACACACTTTGATGAACTGGAGGAGGCAGGAGCAGAGAGGCGAGGGCAGATCTCAAATCCTCTCTCCCCCGCTGCACTTTCTGTGGATCCAGAGACAATTCTGGGCCTAGCTGTGTGGGAGGGAGAGAGAGGACCCATGAGCAGCGTCTTCTCTGAATTCCTGCCTCAGTGACTGGAGGGCAAGGGCAATTCCATCTGAGGAGAAAAGAGCTGTGTGACCTTGAGCAAAGGAATTTGCCCTTGTTGCCTTTGTTTTCTCATCTGTAAAATGGGGATCAGAATGCAAATTATCTCACAGGCCTGCTACGTGCTGTCCTCCGTCACACAAGATCTCAACGTGAGAACTTGTCGACAATAGCCTCAGAAAACGTGTCCCCACAGACCTAATTGAGTGAGTGGCACACTTTCCTGGGTTCAGAAACTCATAGATACTGGGGTCCAGTAATGAGCCAGTAAGCAGAAAAAGCCCCAAACTCACAGGTCTTTAAGGGACATTCCTAATTCTATGTATTTTCAATTGCTCAGCATCATGTGACCCCCTGTGAATCAATGCTTGTTTATTAGAAAATAAACTTTCAAAGTCAGGTATTTTCATCTCTTTATCATATTTTAACTTCCTTTTCATATTCCCTCCTAGCAGCTAATAATATTATTGGGCCTCTGGGTCCATCTGGTTCCTGGGGTGAGTCTGCTCCCCTGAGGACAACCCAGACCACCTGTTTCCAAACCTGGGGTTGCTTCTCCTGTCAGACTGGTGCAGAGGACACTGGCTTTGCCTCTACCAGGACCTGATTTTCAGGGCTTCCCTATGTGGCCCCTCTTCCCTAAGCATTTGATAAAGCATCTGTCTTAAGCTTGGCAGCAGCGAGTTATGCTGAGGAAGGAGCAAAGTTGGTGGCAGGGATCCCAGTGTCAGGTCAGGTACCCGTTTGGTGGGTACTCACTCCTCTCTTTCAACCTCGATTTCTCCATCTGTAAAATGTTGGGATCAGATCCATCATGCCTCGAATGTGAACTCTTTATTGGATTGAATTCAATTCCTCAGGGGTTCTGGGTCCCTCTGGCTTCCTGGGAGGATTTGCTCCTCAAAGCAACAGACATGAATTCATAACTGTGATGCCAGATCCTGATGGAAAGAAACCCATCACCAGGATCCTCACCCCACTAAATCTGTCCATGGCAGACATCACTAGTTGATCCCAGAGCTCTTCCCTACAGAATGGGGATGTAATCCCAGAATTCTCCTCGGTGCAATTCTTCCATAGCCCCTGCCAGTTGAGCCATGTTAGCAAACAAATAGGGCCATTTTGACATTATTAAATTACAATCATCTTTCAGCTCAGCAATCTTAAGAATTAAGTGAAACGTTCTGTGTGGGGTTGGCTCTAGGTAGGACATTGGTTGGAGTTGATGGGTTTCTATATACTGGTTAAGAGGAAGGACCAGGAAGGAAAGGGAGACTGGGCAGTGGCCCCAAAAAGGCCCCCAGGCAACTTCCTAATTAATCATTAGAGCGTGGAGCTCAGGTACCTGGGCTGCATACTAAGGACAGAGTCATAATGGAGCCCATTAAAAACCAATTATGCTGAGTCCAGAGTCGGGGAGATGTTGCTGGCTTCAGCAGAGCTTCTTGGGCCCAGCCTCACTGGGTGCCATGCCCAGGCTGGCACAGAGAATTGGGGATGGCAGTATCATTTGGACTTTTGGTGTCACCCAAGGCCATGAGGGAGAGCAGCAGGGACAAGCATGGGAGAGTGACAGGCAGGAGGTGACCTTCTACACACCCTTCCCTGGAAGCCAAGCCTGGACTTAGGCTGATGTCTGTGGCCACCTGGTGGGCCAGTGAGCTGGAGGGCAGGGATGAGGTTGGCAGGGACAGGAATCATGGCCCGGACCAAACTGGGAGGCCCCCTATGACATGGCAGCAGAGTATGTGTGGACTTGACAGTTACGGAGCAGGAGAAGTGACACGCTGACATTCATGCAATCTGAGGGGTCCCCCCTCCATGAGCCGCAGTTCCCCTACAGCACTGAAGAAGATGAGCTGGAAAACATTCCGAGGCTGTGGGGCCAGGTGATGGCTTAGGCAGGAGGCAGAGTCGAGAGAAGGAAAAGAAAAACAATGTGTGTAGGAATTGGGGATGGGAGGAGGGGGTGATGGGGAAGATTTAGGGGACAGAGGTGACAATCTAAAACCCCCCATTTGTGGAACTCAAAACCGTGGACCCAGCGCGTGTAAGTGCTGGAAGGAGAACACCATCCTGATTGGAGCTCGCTGTCTAGTGTGTTAATGGTTTCTCCTTCGCCCTTGGAATTTCTTGGCTCAGGCGCTGCATTTCCTCATTACCCTACTTATAATGATTACTCCATTTAATCCTCCTTAAAATTGTATGAGGGGCTGGGGATGTGGCTCAAGTGGTAGCGCGCTCGCCTGGCATGCGTGTGCCCCGGGTTCGATCCTCAGCACCACATACAAACAAAGATGTTGTGTCCGCCAAAAAACTAAAAAATAAATATTAAAATTCTCTCTCTCTAAAATAAATAAAGGCGTTGTGTCCATCTACACCTAATAAATAAATAAAATTAAAAAAATAAAAACATATACATGAGAGTAGAGTGTATTTAAAAAAAAATTGTATGAGGAAGATCTTGTCATTTTTAGGGAAAGAAATCTGAACCTCAGAGAGGCCCAGCAACTTACCCAGGGCCACTCGGGCAGTAAGTAGAAGATGCAGGATGGCATACATTGGCAAAACATTGAAATGGCAGCCAGGAGACCTTGAGACTTGAGTTTCAGAGAGGTTCATCCACCTGCCTCAGGTCACACAGCCGACAAGTGGGAAAGCCTGTACTAGAACTCAGTGTGTGCCTCTAAACTCGGGCTCCCACTGGCTGTGCAGGGTGGAAAGGAAGGCCAAGAGAAGATGGTAAAAGAAAGAAGGGAAAGAGGGCAGTAAAGCTGGTGGGGGGGTGCAAACCCTGGAAGGACAGGTAGTAGAGGAAATGCCCTTGTTACTTACTCCTTCTTTCCCCGGTCTGAAGGGTACAGCCTCAGTCTTGAGCTCTGTGGCCTGGAGCCCAGGCCTGGGAGTTCACCCCTCATGTCCTCAGGGTGAAGGACCAAGCCATAGGTTCACTGAGCCAGACGAGTGTCAGATCTTGCCACTCACAGCCCCTCCCTGGTGTCCACCAAGGGGCTGAGTGACAACCTTCTGGGTCATTTCATAGATGGGCAAACTGAGGCTTGGAGGGAGAAGTCAGCAGCACTCTGCCCCCTGCAGCAGAGGCCACACCACCCCTCCTCCCAGCCCCAGGAGTTTTAGAGAGCAGGAAGTTAGGAAGGAAGGGCAGGTTTTAGAATGTGACAGCTTGAGTTAGAGGGATTACAGGGTGGGTGGGGTCCGGGCAGGTGATGGCGTGTGGGTGCCAGTCCTCCAGGGCGGGTCCGGGATGCTAGTGAGCATCAGCTCCCTTGTCACTCCCCAGCCAAGGGACAGGAAGTGACGCTCATTTGTTCATCCAAATAATGTTCATCGAGCATCTACTACACCCTGGGCTCTGAGCCAGGCCCTGATAATCCAAAGCGTATGAGAGCCAGACCTTAACTTTAAAGTGTCAATCCACTGGAGGAAAGAGACAAGTAAACAAATAAATATACCATGGCATCCTTGATCCTAGGTTAGGGACAGAAGCCTTAGTCCCATAGCAGAATCTGAGCTGAGCATAGGGCGATGACATCGAGTTTATTTGACTGAGTTTGGAATCCATCTCCTGCACAGTTATATCCTCACCTTGGTCTGCCTCTGTATGTAGGATCCCCTCATCTGTATCCATCAATCTCGTTGTTCCCTTGAGGGCTGGAGAGGACACTGGTTAGGACAGAATTGAACTGTAATCACCAGAACAGTTGCTTTTCCCATGCAGAGTCCTGGAACCCCAGAGCTGACCCCACAAATGGCAGGTCACGGGGTGTGATGCTGATGGGTGTGGATGACTCTGACCACCAAAGGAGCAGCTCCCAGGATGGATCCACAGGGACCAGGACAGTGGGTTACCGGGCAGGTGCAGAGTCTGGGTGGGGAACAGGAAGCCTGGATCCCTAGGTTTATGTCTGCCACATGATCAAAGAGCAAAAGCTTCAAAGAAGCATATTCTTCGGAGGTGACAGAGAAGCAGCGTGGAGACAAATGGCAAGGAGTTGTAAGGTCAAAAGATCTTCGTTCAGCAGAAGGAAAGACTTTCTAACACTTGGGGGCTGGCTAAGGGGCCTCTTGTAGGTTGCAAGCTGGGACCACAGTCACGTAACCACCAAGAATTTGGCTACAGGAATTTGATGTTGGGCAGGAAGTTGTGAGAGAGATGGTCACTGAGATTCTGGGATAATAACCATAATGACAGTTCTGACTCATCCCACCCCCTCTTGCCCATCTGTGATAAGGCTACAGATGTGTAGAGGGTGACCGGAGCTAGTTTGGGCTGTGGCAAGGAAAAGAGGAATCTAACACAGACGCCCCAGGGCTTGAACCCATATCCTGGGGCCAGGGAACCCTCATCAAATCCCAAACGCCCCCCTGTATCCAGCCCGGGGGCTTGCCAAGTAGAGCTAATTACCACCCCAAACCTCACCCCCTGCTCCTGACTCATCCTATAAAAGGGGACACTAGCCTCCTGTTCTGGCCTGTATCCAGACACTGTGATTGGAAGCAGCAACATGAATTCCTGGGCCACAGATCCAAACTGCCCTCAGGCAAGAAGCCCCTTTCTTCCTACTCCCTCCCCGCCCCTTTGGGGGTTTTGTTGGTGGTGGCTTTTGTTTGTTTGTTTGGGTTTTGTTTTGTTCTTATGTTTTGTCTTCTTGTTTTTGTACTGGGAATAGAACCCCAAAGGCACTTTACCAACTGAGTCACATCACCAGCACTTTTTAATTTTTATTTGAGACAGAGTCTCATTAAGTTGCTTAGGGCCTCGCTAAGTGGCTGAGGCTGGCTTTGAACTCCTCCTGCCTCAGCCTCCCGAGTCACTGGGATTACAGGAGTGCACCATGGTGACTGGGGCACATTTGATTTTCCATGTGGGTGAACCTGAACTGCTCCTCCAGTTCTGTTGAGGTAGACCTCATGAGCCCATGTACAAGATGTGGAGGTTCCTACCTGTGTTTCCAGACTTAACAGAGGCCACCTAAACTCAAAGTTCTGGGGCTTCAGAGGCCTGCACCTGCCCAAGGACTGTTGGAGCCAACCAGACATGAAGGTTCTACTTCCCAGTGTGAGAAGCCCCAAGGCAGCAGGGAGTTGTGTTCCGGCTCCTGCCACACAAGGTCCCTATTGAACCCTGGTCCTGCGCAGGCCTGTTCACTCGCCACGGCAGTGGCCTTCGGAGTTCCCATGCTTGGGACACATATGTCACCCGCGTGAGTTCCTTCTCACATGTTCAGTCGTTCTCCCCAAATGACAATGCCAGACTGGCGCCTTCAGCCTAATCCAAGCTTAAACTAGTCTTTTCCGTGGACCTTCCATGGCACCAGCCCAACCAACTCACAAGTGAGACCAATTAGGAGGCTGTTGCAGATTAGGTAAGAGACATGGCTCCCTGTGCTTCTGTTAGCCATTGCTGTGTGGCAAACCATGCCATCTCGAGGCTAAAGACAACAACAGTCATTTTCTTGCTTAGGAAGCTGCAATTTGGGGAGAGCTCAGCAGGGACAGCTTGTCTCTGCTCCATTTGGTTTCAGCTGGGGCAGCTTGACTGGGGGCTGAGGATCTGCTTGCAAGATGGCTCACTCTCCTGGCTGCCAAGCCAGAGCTGTCGGTCAGCTGGGAGCTCAGCAGACTGGAGGCTGGAGGCCTTGGTTCCTCTCCACGTGGGCGTCTCCACGGCCATTTGGTTTTCCAAGAACAGGCAACTCAAGGGAGCCTAGAAGAAGCTGTATCAACATTTATGATCTAACCTTGGAAGTACAGAGTGCCGTTCTGTTTTACTCACAAGTCTTCCAGATTGGAGGGATGGGACGCTATACCTATGTCTCAGTGAGACACATGTCAACATCGTAACATTAGGGCATGGAGAATGGCAACCATCTTTAGAAAATACAATCTGCCACTCTCCCTTAATTAAAAGATTATGCGAGGTGGCTGGGGTGTGGCTCAGCAGTAGAGCACTTGCCTCCCACGTGTGAGGCACTGGGTAAATAAACAAAATAAAGACACTGCATCCATGTACAACTAAAAAATATTAAAAGAAAAAAAAGGATTATATGAAGGTGCTGAAGCCTTTAAAAATATGAGCATGATGGCCAGCCCTCTCCAGACTTTGGCCCACAAGTGATGAAAAATAGAGATGCCTAATGTGTATGCTTCCAGCTAAAGTCAAACAGGCAACCCTCTGCCTTCTTCTTTTTTTTTAATATTTATTTTTTAGTTGTAGTTGGACACGATGCCTTCATTTCACTCATTTATTTTTATGCGATGCTGAGGAGGGAACTCAGATTCTCCCACATGCCTGGCAAGTGCTCTACCGCTGGGCCACAACCGCAGCTCCAACCCTCTGCCTTCTTGATTCAGCTTCCATTCTACAAACGAATGTCCTTTCTTGGTCCATTTAAAACCATGTTTTTTTGCATTTTTGTGCTTTTGTGTGATTGTTGTTGTTTATTTCTTGGGGGTGGGTAATTCTGCCATTTAAAATGGCCCCAAGCACAGCGTTGAAGTGCTGCCATAGTGTCCCTAAGTGCAAGAAGGCCATGATGTTCCTTGCAGAGAAAATAAATGTTAGATTCATTGAATTATAGTGCTATTGGCAAAATGAGTTCAAGAGTAATGACCCAACAATGAATATTAACTAGGGTGCCTTTAAACAACAACACAGGTATAGATTAAGCTCCTAGGAACCTAACCCTGTATTTTCCCTACCAGCCACAGTTCAGTACTCACTAATTCAGTGCCCACAGGGACTTTAAAGAATGTAACTACTGAGAATAACGAGAATCAACGGTGTGTGTGATAAACAGTGGCTGGATGAGTCAGGCGTGGCACCGCCTATGGTCCCAAACACCTGGGCAGCTAAGGCAGGAGGATCACTTGAGCCCATAAATTCGAGACCAATCTGGGCAGCAAGGTGAAACCCTGTCTTAAAATATAAATAAACAAAAAATAGGGGCTGAATGAACACAGGCCGGCAGCTCGAAGAGGATGGGAAGACAAGCCAGACTGGACAGGAGGGTGCCGAAGCCTTGGCCTCATCTCCCTGCGCTCTGCCTCCGCAGGGGTCCGAGTCACCAGCGTGGACTGGCAGCGGTCGGGGAACGGCGCTGCGCACCACACCCAGGAGTATCCTTGCCCTGAGCTGGTGGTCCGCAGGGGCCAGCCGTTCCGCCTCACCCTGGAGCTGAGCGGAGACCTGGACAGCGAGGAGACCCTTATCTTCACGGTGGAGACAGGTAAGTGGGCTCACCAGCGCCCCCTCTGGTATACAGTTGAATAGCTGTGTCCTGTGACCACTCAAAGGAGACCCTGCCGTGGGCCGCCCCGGGTTTAGGCGGGTAAGCAAGTCTCTGCAAGGGAGCTGAACCTTAAATCTGTAGACTTATGATAACTGCTTCCTGGGGACAGTTGGAAGGTGCTGCCTGCAGACGGCAGGGTGGGTGAGATGACCTCTCTGGAATCCTATGCATGCCAAGGAATTCAGAGTTCCAGAAGGATATGGAAATTGGGGGAGGGTGGGCACTTTGGAATTCAAACGTTTCTATCCTTTCATGGTCAGGTATAAGGTAGATTTGGGTTCCTAAGGCTGCTGTCACTTTCCCCTTGTCCCAGGAGTGGCTGGGGGTCCGGGCAGCCGAGGCGTCCCACTCTGGCCTTCTTAGGCTTGCTCAGCCCCTTCTCCCCAGCAGTCTCCCAGCACCTCAAGGGGTGAAGTCGAGGCTTCCAAGGTGTAGCTTTCCCACTTCTCCAAAGCCGGGTTTCCTAGAGGCAGGGTCTTCTGACTCCCTCTCCTGTCGTCCAGGGCCCAAGGCTTCCGAGGCCCTCCACACCAAAGCTGTGTTCCAGACGGCGGAGCTGGAGGTGGGCGATGCCTGGACAGCAGTGAAGGAGTCGCAGACAGAGAGCAGCATGAGTGTCAGCCTCGCCAGCCCTCCTGATGCTGTCATCGGCCGCTACCAGCTGAGCGCCAGGGCTTCCTCTCGCAGGAGGCACAGTGACCGGAAGCTGGGAGAGTTTGTTCTCCTTTTCAATCCATGGTGTCCAGGTAGGTGCTGCCTAGACAGGTTTTCCTGGAAGCCTCCTCAGAAGTGGGCATGCTCTTGATGGGACATGGGAGGCAGGTGCAGGGTCAAGGAGTGAACGCCAAGAGCTGGGCCTTAGCAGAGGTGGGCATGGGCAGGGGAATCCAGTGGTTCCTGGTGTCGGAGAGGATGGGAATGGGGCCTGATAGGCAGGTGAGGCCCAAGTGCCGGTGAGAGCAAGGCTGGGGTGTCAGACAGCCTTGGGGTAGTCCCAGCTCTACTAAAGTGCTTCCCTCTGTGAGCCTCACTTTCCACATCTGTAATACAGAAATGATACCAGCACTTAACTCTTGAGGCTATGGTTGGGAGATCATGCAGCTAATGCTGTGACACACAAGATACATTACAAGGCCTTGGCAGGGGGTCGTTGGGATCAGTCTTCTTATTAATATTTAAGAAATTTGAGGTTGCAATTGGCATCCAAAAGGACTACCCAAAGGTGTCAGGATTCCCAAAACCCTTCCGTCTTGGGCTGGGCCAGGGTTGGTCCCTGCCTGGGGAAAGACTGCTCAGGAGGGATGAGGCTTGATAGAGTGGCAACACGGGAGCCTGCAAGCCCTCTTGCTTCTCCTGCCACGGTCAGCCTCCAGGCACAGTCCTGCTGCTGGCCCTGATGCAGCCCCTTCCCCAGGCCGGCAGGGCCAGAGCCCCAGCCCACGCTGGGCCTGATGACTGCTTTTCAGAGGACGATGTATTTCTGGCCTCAGAGGAAGAGAGACAGGAGTACGTGCTCAACGACAGTGGCATCATATTCCGAGGCGTGGAGAAGCACATCCGAGCGCAGGGCTGGAACTACGGGCAGGTCTCCAGGGGCGCAGCCAGTCGGGGATGTGGGCTGGGGTATGGGAAAATCCAGCCCAGGAACCCACCTGTCCACTCCTTTCTAGGAGGTCAAGTGGAGCCAATGCTTAGAGCATGTAAACCAAAGGAGCATAGGAGGCAGATTTGGCTCAAAAGCAAATCATGTTTGTGACTTCACTGTGCCTAGTGGGGAGTTATAGGAGGTATTGAATGGGAGGGCATGAGTAAGGTTGAGCTTCTTGTTCCCCAAGGAACTCTCTGAGGAAGGATTTCTGATACTTGAGGGTATTCTGTGATGTCCCTGGGAGGCAGGGCACGAGATTAGGACAAAACTCCCCTGCATAGACACAAGTGACTGTGGGATCAGGTGGGATTGTGGAAAGATCTGGAATATGGGTGAGGCTCCAGCCTCTAAACACAGCCTCTCTGGGGAGCAGTTTGAGGAGGACATCCTGGATATCTGTCTGTCCATCCTGGATCGAAGCCCCAGTCACCAAGATGACCCAGCCACTGATGTGTCCCACCGTCACAACCCCATCTATGTCACCAGGATCATCAGTGCCATGGTGAGGAGTCCCCTGCTATCCCTATATATAGACTCCTTCAAGAATCCCTAAGCCAACCCAGGACCACAGCCTAGGGGTTCCCAACTCATCCCTTGTTTTAATTCTCTATTGCTACATAAACCCCGCCCAACATACACACACACACACACACACACACACACACACACACTCAATGGTATAAAAATTTACAGATCAGGAATTTGAGCAGGGTAACATGAGAATGGCTTGTCTCTGCTTCAAGATGCTTCAACTGGGGATTTCTGAGTGGCTGCAAATGTCTTAGATAACTTGATGGGACCATATATCTGGGACCTTGGTTCTGGTCCTCAGCAGTTCCTTATTTTCTGCCCACACAGTATCTACTGGAACTAGAATGTTCAAAATGGCTCCCTCACTCTCACACCAGGGTCCTGGGCCCGGGGTGGCTGGAATTGCCAAGCCTGGCCAGTCATCACGGCTTCTTCCCATGTAGCCTCTCCACATGGCTAGCTTGGGCTTCCTCACAGTGGGGGGATCTCATACACAATGCTGGCTTCACCCACAGCAACTGCTCCAAGAAAACAGGAAGCAGACCCTGCCAGGCTTCAAGGCCTGGGCCTGAAAACTGTTCCAGCATCACTTCCACAATGGACAGTGGTCAATGCAGTCTGAGGCCAGCTCAGACGCAAGAGCAGCAGGCATAGACAGACCTCACCTCTCCATGGGAGGAGTGCCCACTTTAACTGACCTCAGGCCACATACTCCCTCCACAACAGGTAGTGAAGGGACCTACTAGTGCTTTCTATCCATGCAGGTGTTCAGGTCAGTGGATGGAAATCTGAGATCCCTAAATTGGACAAAGCTGTGCTTCTCATAGTGGATGCTCTCAAGACCTCAAGACCTCAGACAGATGTTGGCGCTCTGAAAATCAGCAGCAATGGCCAACCCCATACAGTAGAATATTACAGCCAGCTGACAGTAGTGCAGGCTCCACACCCAGGTCCTGAACTCATGGGTCACCCCTTTAACTAACTTGCTGTATGATTTGGTCAAGTCCCAGAACTCCTCTGAACTTCAGTTTTCTCATAAAAAAGGGGGGGTGGGGGGTACAGTAGAACCTGTGGAGGAAAATAGAACCATAAACTTAAAAGGTTAACTAGCACAAACAAAATCCTTAGAATAGCCAGGCACCATGGTGCATACCTATAATCCCAGCAGCTCTGGAGGCTAAGGCAGGAGGACTACAAGTTCAAAGTCAGCCTCAGAAATTCAGTGAGGCCCTAAGCAACTTAACATAACCCTTTCTGAAAATTAAAAATAAATAAATAAATAAAATAAAAAGGGCTTCGGTGTAGCTCAGTTGTTAAGCACCCCTGAGTTCAATCCCTGCTAACAACAACAACAACAAAATCCTTAGAAAAGAGCCTGGCATTCAATAAATGTCAGCTATCTCTCTAATTACTATACCCACTAGCAGTCCTGAAATATAAATCATTTAAAATAGGAAATGCTCTGAATTATAGATGATTTTTAACAAGAGTATCCAAATGGAAAATAATTTAAAGTTATAAGTAGTTCCAAAAAGTAGAGTTTTTGTTTGATTTGGTTTGGTTTTTGTGGTTCTGGGAATCAAATTCTAGGCTTCATGGCTGCTCAGCACCTGCTCTACCCCTGAGCTATGCTCTCAGCCCAAAAATGTAGGTACTTTTAAGACAGCAGAGACCCCCACTTATCAGGCATTTGAAAAGCAAGGAGTGACCCCAATTGACTAGCCGGTCCAAGTAGGAGATGATTTCATAATGGTGGGGCTCCTGCTGTGGGAAGCCTGCATGGTGCATGGAACTGTGTCTCCTCTGCTCAGGTGAACAGCAACAATGACCGGGGTGTCGTGCAAGGACAGTGGCAGGGCAAATATGGCAGCGGCACCAGCCCACTGCACTGGCGCGGCAGCGTGGCCATCCTGCAGAAATGGTTCAAGAGCAGGTTCAAACCAGTCAAGTACGGCCAGTGCTGGGTCTTCGCTGGAGTCATGTGCACAGGTATCAGAAAGAGGTGCCCCTCTCTTCAGCCTGCTCCCTATTTGCATTCATTTACATATATTTGCATTGCTGTAGTCTGTCTTCATTGGTGAGGAGGTAATGACCAGGAGATCAGTTCATTTACTTGACTTTTGATTTTTATTTGGCAGAAAGTCCTCCCTTTGCCTCTAGCTCATTGAGTGTCCTGGGCAAGCCCTGTGGCCCCTTAGACTTTGGGTCCCCTCAGAAAAGTGAATGGTCACTCTTCTGTGGCATCTGAGATTTTGCCAGCCTCAGAGCCTGCTCAGAGTGGCATCTCCAGAAGTCCCTGAGACAATGTACAGGAGACGGTGTCTGAGGGAGTGGAAGTCTCAGCCCTGTCACCTGCCACAGTAGACAAAGGCTGTGGGGATGGTGGCCGGAAATGGGGTGGAGCAGCCTGCTGGGGGCCAGAGCCCACTCCTGGAGCCTCCCAGCTCTCTGCTCTCCAGTCCTCAGGTGCTTGGGGATTGCGACACGAGTGGTGTCCAACTTCAACTCGGCCCACGACACTGACAAAAACCTGAGTGTGGACAAATATGTGGACTCCTTCGGGCGGACCCTGGAGGACCTGACAGAAGACAGCATGTGGTGGGTCCTGGGCTACTGTCTCAAGGTCAGGGTCAGGGTCAGAGTCTAACCAGCCCAGCCCCAAATGCCCTCCCTTCCTTTCCTCATACAAAATTTTCTTTCTGATGTTGGATCCTCTGTCACCACCCAGGCTGTCAGAGTCCCCCTGCTTACCCCAAAATGTTTGTCAAGGTATTTTTCCCAAGACAACGACCTCCCAAAGAGGTGTTCTGAGGCCAACTGTGAAGATGCCAAGTCAGGCAAACCAGGAATCAGGTTTCTCTCTGCTACTTCCTTCCGGTGTGACCTTGTGCAAGTGATGTCACTTTTTCTAGATTTGTATTCTCACCCTAAACACACAGAGTTGAAGGTAAACTGGGGACTTCTTACCAGGGCCTACAGAGCTCTCCATCATCTAAATCCTGCCTACCCGGGAGATATTGACCTGCTTTCTATTTCTCGAACACACTCACCTTTGTCTTATCTCCAGACCTTTGCACGTGCTGTTCCTTCTGCCTGGATCGCTGTTCTCCTCGCTCTTCTTCTGGTGAATTTCTTTGCACTTAGGTCTGGCCTCTGATGTCTTTTACCTAGAGTAGATCTCCAGCAGTTATTCTCTAACTCAACCCCTCTTTTCTTCACAGCTTTCGTTGTCACTTGCATTTGTTTCATTTATCTCCTAACTTAATGCTGCCTGTATCCCCATGGGTGCCCTTTGTTAAAATTTAATTTTCATGAGAGCAAGGATGCTGTGTCGTATTTGCAGTTGTATTTCTCTTATCTTGAAGAACAGGCTCTTGATACACACACACACACACACACACACACACACATGTGAGTGCTGTGTGGATACAGTTGAATGAGTGAATGACATGCGGGGGCCTTAGCACTCATGGGCTGGTCTACAGCAGGGGCTTCCCTCCCAGGACTTCAGATCTCATGCAAGGCCACCTCACCCACCCTCTCTCTATGGCAGGAATTTCCATGTCTGGAACGAGAGCTGGTTTGCCCGGCAGGACCTGGGCCCCTCTTACAATGGCTGGCAGGTTCTGGATGCCACACCCCAGGAAGAAAGCGAAGGTAGGGCTCCGAGAGCCAGTCCCAGACCTCTGCTTTTCCTCCCCTTGCTGCTCACGCCCACCCCTCCTGCCCAGGTGTGTTCCAGTGTGGCCCCACCTCAGTCACTGCCATCCGAGAGGGTGACGTGCACCTGGCCCACGATGGCCCCTTCGTGTTTGCGGAGGTCAACGCTGACTACATCACCTGGCTGTGGAATGAGGACGAGAGCCGGGAGCGTGTGTACTCGGACACCAAGAAGATTGGAAGGTGCATCAGCACCAAGGCGGTGGGCAGTGACTCCCGTGTGGACATCACAGGCCTCTACAAGTATCCAGAAGGTAAGGGCCACATGCTGGCTTTTATTCAATTCCCCAGATGACCCTTGGGCTGTGGAGGGCTGGTTCCCAGTAGCCTAGGGCCAGATCCTTTCCCAGATGTCTGGTGACAATCACAGCTTCCATTCGACATTGTCCTGGGTTCTGAGCCAGTGCCTTTGTTTAGGTTAAATTAATAGCTTCCTCTGATTGCTAAGTACCCTTCCGTGTTAGAAGATGTTCCGCGTCTAATAACAGCTACATGTCCTTGACTCTCCACCTAGGCCAGGCACTGTTAGGAATATGCGCATATGATAACAGTAATTACCACTACTACTAACGATGATGATAGTATCCCATGTTTCATATTGAATTCCCAGGAAACATGGCACTAGACATAATTCCAAATAAGTGACAGCAGCTCTTGATTGTCATCTGTCAAGGCCTCTGCCAGAGCCATTCATTAGCCGCTGGTTTGTGAAAAAGCCTGTACTTATTGGGGTACAAAAATAAGATGGTTGTACTTTTTTCTCATAGTCACCTTCAACTATATACTCTGACAGTCTTCCCTTCCCACGGAGGAACGGGTCCCTGAGCACAAATGTGATCTGATCCATCTGTGTCCAGCCACATCTGTCTAAAAAAAAATGTTACTGGGGCTGGGATTGTGGTTCAGTGGTAGAGCACTTGCCTACCATGCATGAGGCACTGGGTTCGACCCTCAGCACCATATAAATGTAAAATAAAGATATCGTGTCCACCTAAAGCTTCATATATATATAAAATATATATATATATATATATATATATATTAATGTTATTAAGTAAAAAGAGTTTGGGTTCAAATAGGAATGAGAGCTTGTCTCCTCCTCTCCCCTGAGTACAAACTAAAGCAGTGACCCTGGAAGGTTGCTGTGTAGGAGGGGACAGGTCTGCTCTGGAGCCTCCCCTGGGGTTGGGGAGAGAGGTCTTGGCTGGCTGTCTCCACCTAGCCTGTCCCTCCAGGTCTCTTCTCGTCGCTCAGGTAAGTAAGGCAGGTAAGCAGACCTCCCAGAGAGAACATATGCCAGCTTCCTTTATCCTTTTCGGGTAGGCACCGCCAGTCTTTACCAGAGGCCCCTTCCTGTTGCAGACACCCCAAACCTTAATTTGGATTCTTTTTGACACCACCGTATTCTTGCACATGCACGTGCGCACACACACACACACACCACCAACATTTGCTGAGTTCCCATCTCTAGGAACATGGTGCTCACTTGACTGTCGGGTGGGGCTGGGTGGTGAGGCCTCTTCTACACGGGCACCTCTCCCTCAAGTCCTGCAAGTGGATGGCTGGTCCCACCTGCTGGACTTTCTGGAGCTTAGAACGGGGGTCTTTTGCCCCAAACTTTTAGCCATGGCTTCAGAAGACACCAACATCCTGTAATAATGACAATAATGAATTTTCACCCAGTTGTCAGAGAAGCTGGAAATCTGCATTTTTATGTGAATTTTCCTGCTCTGAAGTTATTGGCAGCAGATTATAAATTTATTTAAATAGAGAACCCCACACAGGCAGAGGCTGAGGTCTGCACATGGCTCTCCGGCTGCCAGTTTGAGACCTCTGAGAGCCATGGGAATTTGAAGTGGTGATGAGTGACAGTTCTACCTGGAGAAGGGGGACCCTGCAGGCGGAGGAGGAGGAAGGAAGAAGGTCTCGCAGCTGATCTGTGCGGTGCCCTGCAGGGTCCCGGAAGGAGAGGCAAGTGTACAGCAAGGCCGTGAAGAAGCTGTTTGGCGTGGAAGTCAGGGGGAGGAGGACGTGGATCCGCAGGGCCGGCGGGCGGGGTCTCTGGCGTGAAGACCTCCTGGAGCCCGCCACCAAGCCCAGCATCACCGGCAAGTTCAAGGTGCTGGAGCCGCCAGTGCTGGGTCACGACCTGCAGCTAGCTCTGTGCTTGACCAACCTCACTTCTCGGGCCCAGCGAGTCCAAGTCAATTTGAGCGGCGCCACCATCCTCTATACCCGCAGGCCTGTGGCCGAGATCCTGCACGAGTCCCACGCGGTGAAGCTGGGTCCGCAGGAAGGTGAGAACCCTGGCTTTTTGGGACCCCGCTAAGTCACCCCCTTTTGCAAGGATTGAGGGTGGCATGGGCGCCCCTGGTTCTACGCCCATTCCCAAGAAGGAAGGGGACATTCCTGAGCTTTGTGCTCAATGCCTTTCCTCTTGGCCCCACTTTGCAGATGAGAGAACTTGAAGCTTAGAGGGGCAAATGATAATAATAGTAATGAAAGTCCCCATCCTCTCTGGTGGCAAACTGACCTGGTGGTGAGGCGATTTATAGTCTCTATCTCATCCCAATGAATGTGAATGTTTACAGGCTGAATCAACACAGTCTGGAAATGTATGGCATATGCCTTGTGTTACTTTTCTAAAATCCAAAAAAAATTCTGGAGCCCATCTGGCTCCATGTATTCTGTGTGGGAGGAGAGGACCAGAAAGAGATGTTCCTTAGGTGCTTCTGTGTGACAGGCCATCCTGAGAGTTCTGATGCAAAGACAGAGACCCACAACCACATGCATAGGCACAGATGGTAGCTGGGTCACTCCAAGGACGAAACTCACATCCAGAGTCCAAAGTCACACAGTCCATGCATGTAGTGGAAGGACCCAAACCCAGGCAACCCCGCCTTGGAGACACTCCTGATCAAGTGCAGGAAAGTGGTAAAGCCAGGATTCCAGGTCAGGGATGCTAGACTCCTGGCACACCTGCCTCAACCCCCTGCAGTCCCTTGACTAGGGGATGTGCAGTGGGCGGCTCAGTCCATGCCTGATGGTGTATTGGCCTAAGATTCATCCTAGATGTTTCACCACAAAATAGAATAGCGCCAGTCCTTTGGAAGGTTTTTGTATAAATTTATCTGACTTTATTGCTTTTTAAAAATATATCAAAGGGGCCTGGGATTGTGGCTCAGTGGTAGAGCGCTTGCCTAGCACATATGAGGCACTGGGTTGGATCCTCAGCACCACATAAAAAAATGAATAAATAAATTAAATAAAGGTATTGTGTCCATCTACAATTAAAAATATTTAATACATATTTTATATATGTAATAAATATTTAATATATATATATATCAATGAACTGTTTTTCATAGACATATCATACTTGATAGGATTTACTAAATGTATCCTATTTGATTTTTCTTTGATTATTCTCACTTTCTCCCTTCCTCTCTCTCCCTCCCTGTCCTTTGCTCTTTGTCTGTTTCTCTCCCTCTCTTTCCTTCTCTGTCTCCTTTCTTTCTCTCCCTTTCTCGCCCTCTCCCTCTTTCTTCTTTCACAAGCTCTCTGAACTCTAAAGCATCAGTTCGACTTTGTTTAATTGAAGCTGTTTCTCTAGACCAGCTTCTGATAAGTGAACCTTTGGATTTTGACAGGGCATGAAAACATATGAAGGGGGCTTCACACATTTTTTAGCTCTTTTTGTCACAAAAGCTAAATCACAAAATAACACTTCATAATGAAATATTAATTAACATACACTTTCCCCTGGCTTTTAGCAATGTTTTTTCATGTTGAAAGTAATACATATTCATTAAAGATTTCAAGAGTAAAAGAGAAAAATCGCCTCTGATCTTGCCACCCACCTACAAACTGTTAACAGGTTTTTCCTTCCAAATTGTTAATGCCTGTTTGCCTTTGGAAAAAAAACATAGTTCTAATTAAATATTGCAAATACTCATTAGTGGCCTGATTTTCATATTACAAAGTAATTTAAATATTTTTATAAGCTCTTCATAAACATCATTTTAATAGATGTGTAATATTTGAATAAATATATGATGATTTATCTTTCCTCTTCTTTGGGGTAATTACCAGCTTATTGCTATTAAAAATAGAACTAAGTAAACATCTTGGTGCAAAAAAAAAAAAAAAAATCCATTTTTTTCTTCTGGATTTTGACTATTTTTGTTAGAACAGATTTATAAAAGTGATATTCTTAAGCCAACTGATATGACTCTTAAGTCATATAATTAATTAAAATATATAACTCATTTTTAAATAAATAGACTTTATCTTTTAGCAGTTTTATGTTTACAGAAAAATTGAGCAGAAAGTACAGAGAGTTCCCTCCTACCCCCTGAACCACCACCACTCTTCTCCTAACATCTTGCATTGGTATAGTGTTACTTGTTACCATGGACGGACAAACCAGTGTTGACATGTTATTTTCCATTTATTTGCATAAATTCCAGGACCTCAATTGCTGGATCATCTGATAAAGTACATAGTTTACACTAGGGTTCCCTCTTAATGTTATATGTTATATGGATTCTGACAAATGTATAATAGCCTGTATCCAGTATTAGAGAAACATACAAAATAGTTTTTCTAACCTAAAAATTCACTGTGCTTCACCTATTTATCCCTCTGTCATTACTCCCTGCATCCCAGGCAACCATTGATCTTTTAATTGTTGCCGTTTTTTATTTATCCAGAATATCATATAGCAGGAATCATACCCTTTATAGCCTTTTCAGATTGCATTATTTTCCATAGCAATATGTATTTATATGTGTTTTGTTAGGTTTTGTGTCTTGGTCTCTTGATGTCTTATTTCCTGAATGAGAATACTGAATCATAAGTATTCCATTATATGGATGTACAGGTTTTATCCATGCACCTACTGAAAAACATCTTGGTTGCCTCCAATTTGGGGTGTTTATGAATAAATCTGCTGTAAATATCTGTATTAGTCTGTCTTGCATTACCGCAATGAAATGCTTGAGGTCAGTCAACTTTATAAAGAAAAAAGATTTAAGGCTAGAGGTGTAGCTCGGAGGTACAGCACTTGCCTAGCATGTACAGAGTCTAGGTTCAATCCCAGCACTGCACAAAAAATAAAAATAAAGGAAGAAAAGAGAGTTATCTAGTTCATAGTTCTACAGGCTGAAAATCCAGATAACATAGTGCAAGCTCTGGTAATGGCCCTATGACAAATGGCAGAGCCATGCAGGAGGAGAGAGTGTAGCCCAAAACAGGCAGCAAGAAAGACTGGGGTCCCATAATCCCTTTGAAGAACACACTCCCGGTGATGTAAGGACCTCTCACTAGAACTCACCTCTTAAAGGTCTCACCTCCTCCCAATACTGCCACCTGGGGACCAAGCTTCAAATACAGGAACCCTAGGAGGGACACACTTACACCATACCCAAACCATAGAAATATTCCTGTGCAGGTTTTTGTGTGGATAAGTTTTCCATTTGTTTGCATACATTCCAGGAACTCAGTTGCTGGATCATATGATAAGTGTTTGTTCAGTTATGTAAGAAACTGCCAAACTGTTCACCATAGTGGCTGTGTCATTTTGCATTGCCACCAGCATGAATGAGAATTTCCTAGACTGTGTTGTGGTGTGTTGGGGAGCATTGCTTTGTAATATATGTGAAATAGTATCTCATTGTTCCAATTTGTAATCCCCTAATGACATATGAAATTGCATATCTTTTCATACATTTGTTTGTCATCCATATATTTTTCTAGATCTTTGCTCCTTTCTTATTGGGGTTGTTTGTTTTCTTATTATCGGGTTTTAGATCTTTGTGTATTTTGAGTAACAGTCTTTCATCAGGCATGTCTTTTGCAAATATTTTCTTCAGGTCTGTGGACTGTCTTCATAACCTCCTGATGGTGCATTTTGCAAGGCAGAGTTTTTAATTTTAATAAAATCCAACCTGCCAATGTTTTCTTTTCATGAATCAAGACTTTAGGCTTGATTGTATTGTTGTATGTAAAAAGTCACCACCAAACACAAGGTCATCGAGATTTTCTCTTACTATCTTGAGGAGTTTGTAATTTTGCATTTTACATTTAAATGTATGTTCATTTTGAGAAAATTTGGGGGAAAATGTGAAGTCTGTATCTAGATCCTTTTTTCCCTTTCCTCCCCCTCCCCCACAGGTGGATATCCAGTTGTTCTAGTACCATTTGAAAAGACTTTTATTTCTTTATAATTCCTTTGCTCCTTTGTCAAAGATCAGTTGATTATATTGGTGCACGTCTATTTCTGAACTCTACTTTGTTCCATAGATCTATTTGTCTGTTCTTTCTCCAGCCACACTGCCTTGATTCCTGAAGCTTTATAATAACTCTTCAAGTGGGACAGGGCCAGTTCCTCCTACTTAGTACTCCCCTTTAGTAGTGCATTAAGTATTATGAGTCTTTTGCCTCTCCACATAAACTTTAGAATGAGTTTAGCAAGATCCAGGTGAGGTGGCACAGGCCTATAATCCCAGCTACTCAGAAGGCTGAGTGGGGAGAATCACTTGAACCCACTGATTCTAGACCAGCTTGGGCAACATAGAATCAAGTCTCAAAAACAGTTAGCTTCTCAGGACCTACAAAATAATACTTTTGATGTAAATTGCATTTAATCTATAGATTAAAATTAGGAAGAACTTACATCTTGAGAATAATGAGCTTAAAATATTTCTCCAACTATTTAGTTTTTTGATTTGTTTCCCAGAGTTTTTAGTTTTAATTACATAGATAGTGAACATATTTTTTAGATTCATGCCTAAGTATTTAATTTTGAGGGGTGCTAACATAAATGGTATTGTGTCTTTAATTTCAAATTCCAGTTGTTCATTTATGGTACATAGGAAAGTGGTTGACTTTTGTGTATTAATCTTATATTTTATAATCTTACTATAATTGGAAGTTTTTATTTGTTAAGATTTTCTACATAATTGATCATGTCATCTATAAGCAAACACTGCTTTTTTCCCCCAATCTGTATACCTTTTATTTCCTTTTCTTATCTTATTGCAATAGCTAGGATGTCTACTATGATGTTGAAAAGGAATGGCAAGAGAGAATCTTTGTCTTGTTTCTGATCCTGAAGGGAAAGCTTCTAGTTTCTTACCATTGAGTTTGCTGTGTGCTATAGATTTTTTCATAGATGTTCTTTAACAAGTTGAGGAAGTTCACCTCTGTTCTTTGTTTGCTGAGAATTTTTTTTTATCATGGACAGGTGTTGCATTTTCTCAAATTCTTTTTATGCATCTGTTGTTACAATCGTGTGATTTTCTTCTGTGGATTTGGTAGATTACATTAATTGACTTTCAAATATTTAACTAGCTTTGTATGCCTGGAATAAACCCCACTTGATTGTGATGTGTAATTCTTTTTGTACATTATTGGATTTTATTGGTTAATATTTTGTTGAGGGACTTTACATCTGTGTTCATAAAAGCTATTGGTCTTTGGTTTTCTTTTTTTGTAATGTCTTAGCTAGATTTTGATATTAGGGTTATGCTGATCTCGCAGAATGCATTAGGAAGTATTCCTCTGCTTCCATCTTCTGAAAGAGATTGAATTGGTAATTTCTTCCTTGATTACTTAGCAAAGAAATCAAGGCTTGGTACTTTCTGTTTGGAAAGATATTAAATACTGATTCAATTTATTTTTTTATGGTAAGGGGGATTGAACCCAGAGGTGCTTTATCTCTGAACCACATCCCCAGCCCTATTTTTTATTTTGAGACAGGGTCTCACTAAGTTACTCAGGGTCTCATAAAGTTGCTGAGGCTGGCCTTGGATTGCATTCCTCCTTCATCAGCCTGCCAAATTGCTGGAATTACAGGTATGTGCCACCATACCCAGCTTGATTCAATTTCTTTAATAGATATAGATGCATTCTAATTGTCTGCTTCTCTTTCTGTGAGTTTTGATAGGTTATTGAAATTTTCAAGGGTTTTGGTTATCAAATTAACCATTTTTGATTATCAAATTTGAGGGCATATAGTTTCCACAAATTCCTCAACAATTTTTAATGTCCATGGGATCTATAGTAGTGTCCCTTCTGATATTAGTAACTTGTGTCTTTCCCCCCACCCCTTAGCCTGACTAGAAACTCATTGCTTTTATTGATCTTGTCAATCAGCTGTAGGTTTTGTTGGTTTTCTCCATTGATTTCCTGCATTCAATTTCATTGATTTCAGCTCTGATTTTTATTATTCCTTTTCTTCTGCTTATGTTGGATTTAGTTTTTGTAGTTTCCTAGTGAAAGCTGAGGTTATTGATTTTAAGCCTTCCTTCTTTTCTACTATCTGCTTTGAATGATAAAAATTTCCTTCTTAGTTTTGCTTTCACTGCATCCCACAAACTTTGAAGTGTTTTACTTTTATTTTCATTTAGTTCAAAATATTTTAAATTTTATCTTGAGCTTTCTTCTTTGTGTTGTTTAATCTCAAAGTATTTTGTATTCTCCAGCTATCTTTCTGTTATTGATTTCTAGTTTGAGTCCACTGTGGTCTGAGAGCATACATGATATGATTTCTATTGTGTTTTTCTTTTTCTTTTTTTTTTTTTTTGCAGGGGTTCTTATCCATATTTTATTAGTTTATTAAGTAAGCATTCATTGAATTCTCATTGCATATCAAGACAATAAAAACAGATAAAATGAAGAATTTGTGTCTTGCCCAGGAGATTATGGAGAAATGGGAAGACAACAGACAATATCAGGATGATGTGCTTAGAGCTGCTATGTGGTGTGGGGATCTTGGGGGATGGAAAACCACCCTGCAGAGAGTGGGGACAGGAAGGGAAGTCATCAAGGAAGGCTACTAGAAGTAGAAAGGGACCTGGGGACAAGTTCTTGGAGTGGGGAGGAGACCTACATTGCAAAAGTGCAAAGACATGAGAGGGTACAATGGTTCCAGGAAGGAGTATTTCAAAAGGAGAAGGGAGAAGCTGCCCATCTCTTAAGTCCCAATTTTGGAAGGTGTACAGTACCACTTCCATGATCATCTGTTGGTTCAAACAGGCTCCTAGGTCAGTCCAGATTCAACAGGAAGGAGTGTACATTTACCTCCTGATGGGAGAGTGCTAAGGCCTGCGGACAAAAGTGCATTCAGAAGCGGAGACATGTGGCCATGTGGAATCATGGGATGCTGCAGGTCACCCAGGGCAGGGAAAGGACCCATAAGAAGGGGGAGGACTCAGTGTTTCCACAACCCAATTTCCTAGAGCTTCCTAGAGGAAGCTCAATGCCATGTTTGCCATTGAATTAAATTATTTACTGATGGGGAATGGCAGACATGGAGAAATGTAAATTTTTTTAAATCTGCAAACTGTTCAGAAGTGGGCTCAGGATTCCTATGCTGTGAGCATGGCTCTAGACTCTGAATCGCCAGTGCAATTGGTAGTAACTAGGTCCCTGATTCTTCCTCACATACTCCCCCATAGCTCTTCATTGGGGTAGACAAGATAATGCATAAACTACAAAATCATCTTCCCTTATTGTATTTGGAGAAGGTGATAAAGACTTTGTATCTGTGAGGTCTAATTTCCATGGTGTTGCAATTTATAGGCATCTCTTGCTCTCTCTAATGTGGTCAGCTTTATCCTCTTCATTTAAAAGCATGTTGAAGCCAGATGCAATGGCACACGCCATAATCCCAGTAGCTCAGGAGGCTGAGGCAGGAGGATCACAAATTCAAAGCCAGCCTCAGCAACTTAGCAAGGCCCTAAGCAACTCAAAGGGGCCGTACCTGTGACTCAGTGGTTAAGCACCCCTGGGTTCAATCCCTGGTACCACAAATAAATTAAAATTAAACATTTTTTTAAAAAAACATAAGAGCATATCGATGCTGGACTCCTCTGGCCCCCGGGACTTTCACCTGCTGGTCAGAGCACAGGTGTTTGTATTCAGAGCTAACAGGTGTTTGTATTCAGAGCTAACTTCCAGCCTTGACAGAGTGGCTTCTGGCAACACACGGGGCTGATTTCTGTTCTTTTAAAAGTCTTTAATGTGTTATTTATGGCACAAAATGGGATATATCTTGGTGAATGTTCCATGTGATCTTGAGAAGAATGTGTGTTCTGCTGTTGTTGGGTGATGTATTCGAAGTTGTATCGGGTTGATGGATGGTGCTGTTGAGAATCACTCTTCTAGGGAAAGAGTCTCAGCTTTCCTAGGGTGGTTCATGGAGTCCGTGACTTAAACAACTTCAGGAAGCTCTGGTCTGGACACTGTGATAGTTCACCCTTCTCTTCCTTTCTCCCAGAGTCTGAACTGGTGTTCAAAGCTCTGTCCATCCTATCATGGTGGCATATGGTGGCTCTTTATGCTGGAACTGGGGATTTGCATTTCTAACATCTCAGATGATGCTGATGTGTCTGGTCCCAGGACCACGTGAGGAGCCATGGTCTATCACCATGCAAGGAACAAATGATGTTATATATAATTATAATTATATAACATAATTCCTAACACCTAACAAATATATAATGGTTGGTGGTATTTGTCCTTATTTTTATATTTCTATCAGTTGGGGATGATAGTAATCATATTTGCTCATGGAATTTTTGTGAAGATTAAATCAGTTAATCCATGAAAGTGCTTCAAAGTACCCAGCATGCTTTAATCCATTAGTGAAAGTTAACTTTTAAAATAATGAATTTTTGCTAATATTGTTGTAAAGGCTTTTCCAGTAAAAACTTATTGGACTAAGGGAGCCCAAAAGACGAGGTAGCACTTTCACACTGGCATTCAGGAGCATCTACTGAGGCAAGTCCTAGGTGGCTGAAAGTATGCACCAAGTTCAAGTCCTTTAAGCATCTTTCCACAAGTTCAAAACTCAGATGCCACCAGGGTCAGGAAGAAAAGAGAGATAAAGAAAGCAGTGGCAGAGCAATAGAGTGGGGCCTGGAGCAAACCAAAAGGGCACATTACACCTAAAAGAAAAAAAATACATATTGGTCCAAAAACACAAATATAATGGTCACACATGGTTTGTGGCAATTCGTACGCTTAAGAAGAGAATACCTAGGGAGGGTGTTTATGCCTGGTGAGAAGGAGACAGAGACACCCAGGACCATGGGAGCTCAGAAAACTTAAGACGACTGAGAAGGAGTGTCAGTGAAGCCTTCCCACAGCTACTAGGGCTGACTGGGACTAGCCCTTTCTGGAGAAGGAAGTTTTAGAGAAGTTGTGAGGAAGTGGGTCTCATTGGATTGGAAATTTGAGGCAGTCTTTGGTTTCCTTCTTCTCTGTGCCTGGCACATAGTAGGTGGTCAATAAACAGTGACTGAATTCCTAATGGAATGGTTGATGAACTGAGAGATTGCCATCTTGAATAACTAGAGAAAATTTCAGATATGTCTCTGGATGCTCTTAGAGAGATAATCCGGTGTTACAGTAGCTTACTGGCCTGAATTTGAATTTTTTCTCATCTTGGCTCCTTGATAAACTTGCTATGAGGCTTTGGGGGGGAAAAATTACCCTCTCTGAGCCTCAGGTTTCTTCATCTATGAACTCAAGAGAATAATGCCTTTCTCAGGATGGTTGCCAGGACCAGAAAGGGTATAGCTATTGACGGGCATTCCTTCCCCTTGGGGGTACCATTGAAGAAAAACATCAAGCCCCCACCTCCCACCTCTGCTTTCTCTTCCAGAGAAGAAGATTCCAGTAGCAATATCTTACTCTCAGTATAAAGAAGACCTGACAGAAGATAAGAAGATACTATTGGCTGCCATGTGCTTTGTCTCCAAAGGAGAGAAGCTCCTGGTGGAGAAGGACATTACCTTGGAGGACTTCATCACCATAAAGGTGGCTTCTGTCACATCTACCTTCCCAGTAGGCCCACTTCAAATCTGGGGGGAGGACATCAAAAACTAGGGAGCTCGTGCCATTAACACCAACTTCAGCTCCCAAGGGTGAGGGGGAGAGGTAGGGATGCAGGGGATGGGTCTGGTGGGTGCCAGGGAGGAGTGGGTGCAGGCAGGATGGTCATGACCAGGGCCCCAACTTCTGACTTAGCCAGGACCACGGGGTTCCTGGAGGGATGGTGAGGAGAAGGGACGGCTCATGGGTGTTGCCCTTCCAGGTGCTGGGCCCAGCCACCGTGGGGGTGGCCATTACAGTGGAAGTGACGGTGGTCAACCCCCTCTTGGAGAAAGTGGAGGATGGTGTGCTGATGGTGGAGGGCAGTGGCCTTCTCCAAGGACAGCTCAGCATAGAGTAAGTGCCACCCTGGACTAAGGGAGCCCAGAAAGCAAGGGCATTCATGAGCATCTACTGTGCACAAAGCCCTAGGTGAACAGACAGTATGCCCAAGTTCAAGTCCTTGAAGCATCTTTCCACAGGTTCAAAATTCAGATCCAGGGCTGCTAGGGAGAAGGGCTGCCTTCCTCCTAGGATGGACCGGGGAGAAACAACTGGGAGGGGAACAGGAGAGATTCTGAACCCCCAAGAACAAGACACATCAGCTTTTATCCACTTAATCATTAATTTCCTCAGCCACACACTCACCCATCTCACTCATTCATATTCTCTCTCCCACCCGCTGACCTGTCATTCACTGGGTCGCTCATTCCTGTCGTCACTTTTGTTCACATTTTCACTCACTCCTTCCACTATTCGTTCCGCTACTGCACTCAGTGGTGATTGGCTCGCTCACCCTCTCATTCATTCATTTCTGCGTTCCTCTGTCCACTCCCTTGAGTTCTGCTCATTTGTTGATTCATTGTCCAGCGCTGGTCATTCACCCTGTACTCACACTGTTCCTGATCATATGGACCAGCTCTAAGCCCTGTGCAAAGGGTCAGGAACACCAAGATGAACCCCTGGGGTTCTGCCTGCAGAAGGACCCTCAGGGACAGATGGCCTTTCCTGTGAGAAGAGTGATTTCTGCAAACAGAGGGGTAGATCCCCGGGGTCCAGGAGATCAGAGGCAGCCCTGAGTCAGGGTGTCGTGGGCCCAGGGAGAAGTACCAGTGAATATTTGAGCTGGGCCTTAGGTGATGAAATGAGGAGCTTTTCTGGTACCAAGAGGTTAGGAGGGCTTCCAGGCAGAGGTGTCTGTGGCTGGGACAGTCAGGGAAGGCCTCCCAGAGAAGGGAAGCCTGGTGTGGGCCGTGGGTGTGGTGGGCATGGGAGGGCATGGTAGGCAGGAGGAACGCTAGAGAGAAAGCCTGGGGAGGGTGAGGTCTGTTCAGGGCACGGGAAGGAGATTAACTGGCTGAAGCCGGCAGGGAAGATTGATCTGGAAACATGTTAATGAGGCTTGGACGTTAAGCCACCAGGTGAAATTGATCTTGAAGGCCCTGGGGAGCCGTGGGCTGGCAGGCCAGACTCAGGACGGAGAGAGGACTGATGGCCTGCCTCCCCCTCCTTCCCTGTCCTCCAGGGTGCCCAGCCTGCAGCCCCAGGAGAAGGCCTTGGTCCAGTTCAACATCACCCCGTCCAAGAGTGGCCCCAGGCAGCTTCAGGTGGACTTCGTCAGTCACCACTTCCCGGACATCAAGGGCTTTGTGATTGTTGACGTGGCCACAGCCAAATGACAGACCCTCAGGGACTGAGGGGGAGCATTCGGCCCCTGTTTTGCTCCTCGCCACCTTTCTGTGGGAGCCGAGAGGCCTGGGTCAGTCCTGCTTCAGTCTCTGCCCTACTCTGTGAGTTTAGGCAAAGCCCTTCCCTCTCTGGGTGGAGGTCCTCATCTGTAAGATGAGGTTTGGACTCATTCATCCTGAACCTTTTGGACAAATAGGTGAAGTAAGAACCTAGGGATCCTCTCCCCCTTCTCATCACGCTCCTGGCTGGGAGACTGACACCTCCGAGAGTCCCAGTCACCCTGGCCCACTCTGCTGTGGCCTCTTTGCCCCTCCAGCTCACCTGTCCCTGTGTCTCTCTCAACCCTTCAAATGCCCTAGCCACATCCAGACCCAGCCGTCCTCCCCCAGGCCTGACAGAGAGCCCAGATGTTAGAGCCGGAAGCTAAAGCATCCCTCAACACTCCCACTGCAGAGAGGAGGGGCCTGGCTGGGCCCAGGGCACCTGGAGGCAGAGTCGTCCTGCATATTGCTACTTGCCCTGCCTTATGCCAAAGTCATGTTCCTGAAAAGCATTAGATTTTAAACATCGAGAGATTTTTCCCTCAGGGGAGATGAAGGCTCTGGATTCAAGGGGCAGAATCCAGAAAGCAGCTGAAAAAGATAAAGAAGGGTCCATCCAATGGATTGTATTCCTCTGAACTCTGTAGCCCCAGATCTGATCCGGTTAGGATCAAGGAGCTCACTGACCTTTCCAGCTAGGCCTGACATCTCTTTGTTTGGCGCCCAAACAGCACCGCTTCTGCAAAACATCCCAGCAGCCTGCACCATGCACATCGTGTGCTTGGAGTCGAAACAGGACACCAAGGACCAGATAGATACCATCAGGCCCTGGAGATCAATGAACTTAGATATGAAATTCTGTTCCGAAATTTTCTAGATAGTCCAAGAAATTAAAATCAATGATATAATTTAAGTCATCTGAACAACAGCAACACAGACTCATCTGCGGTGAGAGGCCTCCTGGATACAATTCAGTGGAGCATAATCGATGTAGGGGGCTTTGCACAAAGCAGGTCGGGCAAGCGCACAGTGTGGCGGGTGGTCCTTGGGGCCCCATAAGGAGGCTCTTCTCTGATGATCCTATGGAACATGAGCTTGGAGAAGCTCTTGGGCTGCCTCTGTTCCAAGATCCTCTTTTCAAACCTGGGTTTTTGATGCTGGCTCCATATGGGAGGATCAGCGGGAGGTGCAGGGCAGGCAGCCACTTCTTTGAGATTGAAGTCAACATGTATCACTCCCAGGAAAAGGGACGCTCTGTCCCACAGAAGGCTCAGCAAGTCGGCCAGGAGGGTGTCCCCGGGGATCTCCAGATGCTCTGTTCCTCCAGTGACTGCCAACAGCAGCGGGTCTTCCTCAAGCTCAGCAGCGTAGGGAGAGAGTCCCAGGAAGCTGGTCCTGAGGTGCAGTTTGGGGTGCAGGATGCTGATTCAGGGGGATCCCAGGGATCAACACCCAGGAAAGAGAGTTAGGGAAAGCAGGAGGGGACAGAGGGAGGAGTCGGACCGTGACACTGCCCCTCGACAGCCCCAGTGACCCCGCAGGCAGCTCTGGAGCCGCTGTGGCCTGTCACAGTTTTCTGGTTGGGCTGAGATGGTGGGCCATCGGTCACTGATTGCCCAGGACTTAGGGTGAGACCTCTCTCTGCAGCTGGGACTGTCCCTGAATCCGTGACAGCTGACGGGCAGCTCTCCTACCAGTGGGGGCTACAGAGTCCTCCAGGAAGGGGATCTGGGCTGTGTCCTCAACCTGCTTCTGTTCAATCCCAAGGACAGGATGGTGACATGTGTTCCCCAGGCTCATGCTCACAAGGGTTTACCCTCTAGCTGCTGGAGGCAGGTGTTAAATCATGACCTTTTAAAAGTCACGAGAAGCAAAGAGAAATAAGAGTAAACAAGTAAATAATTTTAAAATAAATAAGCTCATTAAATATGGTGATAAGTGCCAGAAAGAAAATAAAGTGACAGCCTTCTCCTCAAGTGATGGGGTTAGGATAGCCCTACTTTATAAAGAGGAATCTGAGAAGGTCTCTCTGAGAAGGCTAAAATTTTAATAACAATAAAAACTGATTAAAATCTAAAGTAGTATGCATGCTAGGAACTGTTTCAGGTGCTTTACACAGATTAATTTACTTAATATTCATATAACTAACTGGATGAAATAGTTCCTATTATTCTTTTCTCTTTTCAAATAAGGAAACTGGGGCATAGAGAGGTTAAATCACTTGCACACAACTGCACAGCACTTAAGTAACCGGTGTAGTATTTGAAGTTAGGCTATCAGAGAATGCACTCATAGCCTCTGTGTTTATTGTATGTGAAGAGACAGCTATGCAAAATGTTACAGGCAGACAAAACAGACATGTAAGTTTGGGAGTTATGTTAGTTTCCTGTTTCTATAACAAAATGCCTGAGATAATCAACTTATAAAGGAGAAAGGTTGATTTTTGCCTCACAGTTTTACAGGTTTCAGTCCATGATCAATTGGCCTGTTGTTCTTGGGCCTATGGTGAGGCAGCACATCATGGAAGGGAACATGTATGTGTTAGAACAAAGTTGCTTGCCTCATGGCAGCCAGGAAGTGATCGAGGAAAAGGAAGGGCCAGGGTCCCAATATCCCCTTCAGCGGCATATCCTATGTGACCACAAGACTTTCAACGAGGCCCCACCTCTTAAAGCTTCCACTACTTCCCATAATGTCCCCCCACTTGCCCAAACCACAGCATGGCTTTCCCAGGGGCTCTGTAGGAGGTCACTTTCCCTGGTAGGGCTGGCAGCTCTTGGCTCCTGTCTCCCACAGCCCCTTCCTGTTCTTCAGGCTGAAACACATCAAGTCTTCTTCAACCTGTCCCCAAAGAGCCTGAGCTAAGCACCTTGACCCAGTCACGTGCTGCCTCCTGGGACTTGGCTCTTAGAAGATCAGGATGGAGGGAAGGTCAGAGGGCACTGGAGTGGTGTGGTGTCACGGTCACAGTGTCCTGGCTGGGGGACTTCTGCTCTACACAGTTGCTGTGTTCCAACGACTATGCAACCAATCACCCAACAACTACAGCTTAAAATAAGGACAACTGTTTTGACCAGGAATCTGCAGTTTGGGAGGGCGGGGCGGGGACAGCTCCTCTCTGAGACCTCAGGGACAGCTCGCAGACTCTGGACTCCTCCTCCGTCTCAATGACTCAGGTTGCTGGCGGTTATCGCTGGCTGTTGGCCGATCCCCACTCTGGGGCTGGCAGCTGGAACACCTGCCCATCATCCCTCCCACGGGCCTGGGCGGCCTCCCAACATGGCAGCTGGTTGCCAAGGTGAGCACTTCAAGAGAGCGGGTGCCAGAGAAGCCATCAGCCTCCCTGGCCTAGCGCTGGGGGCCACCCTATGTCATTTGTGCCACACTCCATTCCTCAAGGCAGTTAGAGAGTTCTTCCCAGTTTCAAAGGAAGGGAAAGCATAAGGTGGGGAAGATTCTAGAGGCGCTTGTGGGACTGGAAATATTGCTGTGGCTATTTTTGGAAATTTACAATCTACCAGACTGCTTCCTGCTGCCTGTTTCTCGACCCCCTGGATATTTGTGGAAAGCCATTTTGCACCCTGGGTCTGATCTGTCTCAGCATGCTCTCCTCCATTTCACGGTTGGTTTTGTTTTGTTTCGGTACTGGGGATTTAAACCAGGAGTGCTTTATCACTGAGCCTCATCCCCAGCACTTTTTAAAAATTTTTTATTTAATGCAGGTTCTTACTGAGTTGTTTAGGGCCCCACTAGATTGCTGAGGCTGGCCTCACTTGCAGTCCTTTATCTCAGCCTCTCAAATCCCTGGGGATTACAGCCGTGGTGCCTGGCTTCATCTCATGCCTAATGTCACCCCGTCCACTTTTGCTGAAGTCAACAAAAGGCAGTTTTTCTTCCTTGCAACCAAGAACACTGACACAGATACTGAGGAGGACATGAATTAAGCCAGCATGCCCAAGTGTCCTGCAGCTCATCGCCCTCTTCTTGACATGAGTCAGCAGCCCTGACCTTCAAATGCTCAATGGCAACCCACAAGAGGGACTCAGAACACAGTACTACCTTGACCCCTCTAATAGCTTCTCATTTGAGTCATCTTTTTGGCTTCTTCAGGCCTTAGAGGCTATCCCTCAGAAAGACCCCTGGGTGCCAGGGGGTGGCACATGCCTGTAATCCCAGCAGCTTGGGAGGCTGAGGCAGGAGGATCTCGAGTTTAAAGCCAATCTCAGCAACTTGGCAAGGCCGTAAGCAACTCAGCGAGATCCTGTCTCTAAATAAAATATAAAAAAGTGCTGGGGCTGGGGCTCAGAGGTTAAGTATCCTGGGTTTAATTCCTGTACCAAAAAAGAAAGGAAGGAGGTAGGGAGGGAGGGAAGAAATAAAGACCCCTGGGCTCCTCTTCAGAGTGGATTATAAGACTGTTTCTTAAACAGGAGCAAGCGACCAGAGGGGAGGCTGGGGTACTGGTGGTGGTTGTATTAAGGTTCACTAGAGGAACAGAACCAACGAGACACAGAGAGAGAGAGAGAAGATTTATTCTAAGAAACTAGCTCACAGGACTATGGACTGATGGGTCCCAGGATCTGCAGTCAGCAAGCTGGAGCCCCCAGGAAAGCTGATGGCGAAGTTCCAGTCTGAAGGCTGACAGGCCTGAGACCCAGGAGCGGATGATGGTTTGGTTCAAGTCCAAAGGCGGTGAGGCCCAGTGTGAAGGTCAGTCTCTTGTTCAGAGGAAAGTGGCCTTTTTGTCCTAGTCAGTGAATTGGATAAAGACCACCCACATGAAGAAGGCAATCTGTTTTACCCAAACTACTGGTTCAAATGATAATCTCATCCAGAAACATCCAGAATCATGCTTGGCAGGAAGTGAAGGATGAGCAGGAGCTTCCAACTTCCTACCTGAGAACTGAAGCCACAGCCCAGGTAATGTTGTCACTCAGGGCCTTTGAGACCATCTCTGCCCTGTGAGCTGCCGCTGCTGAGCTGAGCACAGACTTCAAGGGCTAGAAACAGTTTCACAGAAATAATGCAAGAAAGTCACCAACCA